TCTTAAAGCCCTAGCTGCCTCTTCTGTTTTGTGTTTCTTTCCTGAATTTAAGACTGAGCAAAAATCCCAAGATGGGATCCTTAGAAGCAAACTTGTGAGTTCAAGGGGTTGAAAGCTCATGGGTCCTCATGTGTACTTCTGGAGGAGCCCCCAGCAACAATTGCAGTGCTTCTTGGGGTAGATGGAATGGTGAGCCTAATGCCTTGGCCAAAGACATGGACCTGGAAAGATTTATTTGGACAATGCAGAGCCAAGGCGAAAGTGAAATGCCTATTCAGCCTTCCCACAAATGCTTCATGTTTTGATGGTCTCAGCCTCCTGGTGATTTCCTATTGTTGGGGTGATTTCTATTGCTGGTTATTTAAGGTTTAATGGTCAATTTCTGCTTGTTAGTCTTGTTTTTCATTTCTTTTGCGTGGAGGAATAGATTACTGCTCTATACCCATCTACATTGTGTATCCAGTAGCTTTTTAGGGGAGAGGGGAGACCCTAAGAACCAAACCTAGGCTATAAGTGATTTTCCCAAAGGGCTTTCTGGTGGCGGAATAAAGTACCAGAGGATTAGAGAAAATGAACATAATGGAGCCAAACTCCTCCAGAACTAAACCCAGTACAAGTATGTTGATCCAGAGCTGAGAAAAGCCTCTTAGTGGGAGAGGGAGAGAGTGAGTACTCCAGTACTGATGGACTCAGGGGTGTTGTTATCATCCCCCCTGCTTCCCATGACCCTGGACCAAGTGAGTTCTACTGCCTCTAAAGTTGAAGGAAAAGAAGAAGTTGAAGATGTGGGAAATGGTCAGTGCTTTAGCAAAGGAAGCCTAGGGGGCATTTCTCTTTTAAATATACCTGCTCTACTACCCAATTCCTGAGAGAGGTGATGGATTTGGGGTGTAGACTGAGATATGTATTTTTCAGACGTGGACAATGCAGGAATTAGTTTTGCTTGACTATGCATATTTTTTACATATTTTCCCCTTTTTTTCTTTTTCTTTTTTGCTAGGCAATGGGGTTAAGTGACTTGCCTAGAGTCAAACAGCTTGTAAGGGTCAAGTGTCTGAAGCTGGATTTGAACTCAGGTCCTCCTGACTCCAGGGCTGGTGCTTTATCCACTGTGTCACCTAGCTACCCCATTTTCTTTTTCTTTTTTAATGAGGAGAAAGTAGGAAGGGGGGAAAGAGTTCTATTAATTGAAAACAAATTAAATTTTATTTTAAATTTAAATAAATAGAAAAGCAAATGAATAAATAAATAATTATACCTGCTGTTGGTGTCTATAGTGCGGCAGAAACAGGGCAAAACGCTGGAAATGTTTAGCAACCAGCTTGAGGTAGGGGTTGGAAGGAATGTACCAACTACACACTTTTAAGTTTAATCTGTATTATTAACTTTTTCTCCATCATTTTCTTAAATCTAGACAATTAATAAAATATTCCTAAGGTACAAATGCTCACATTGACAATTTAACAGTAATTCCATTGAGACAGTTTAAGCTGGCTCTAGCACCAACCTAGCTAAGGGAAAAGATGGGGCTGTAGTAGATGAAAGTCACAGGAGTGGGAAGAAGAGGAATGCTGACAAAGGTTTCCCTCCAGAGTCCAAGATGATTTCTTTCTGTGAACAGAGCCTACTTCTACCATATTGACAGGAAGAACATCCCCTTCTAGACTCCACAGATCAGAGAATGGTAGACCTGGAAAGGAGCTTCGCATATGGAATGGTAAGAGCTGAAATGGATGTTAAAACGGAGATCATAGAATTCCAGAATTGCAAAAGATCTTGGAACATGGAGTATCAGAACGGTAAAGGGACCATCAAATGAAGAAAATAGTGTGGTAGATTTGGAAGAAACCTTAAGAACATCTGGTCAAATTTCTTTATTTTACAGATAGAGGAAACTGAGACCCAGGGAAAGTGACTGTCCAAATTCACACCTTTGTTGCTGTTCACTCATTTTAGTTATGTCTGACTCTTTGGGACCCCATTTTGAGGTTTTCTTGGCAAAGATGCTGGAGTGGTTTTCTATTTCCTTCTCCGGCTCATGTTACAGACTAGGAAACTGAAGCAAACAAAATTAAGTGACTTGCCCAAGATCACACAGCTAGTTAAGTGAGGCCCGATTTGTACTCAGGAAGATGAGTCTTCCTGATTCCAGACCTGGTGCTCTACCCACTGTGCCATCTAGCTGCCTTCATTAATGGCAAAAGCATGATTAGAATGACTTCTTGACTCCAGATTCAGTGACCTTTCTGCCACACATATTACTTTTAATTATAATATTGCTTCAAATGATTCATGATTTCATCATTGCAGAGGCCAACTCCATCAACACAAATCATGACTCTTTTTTCCTTTCCTTTTTTTTTAGTTTTCAACATTCATTTTTTATAAGATTTTGAGTTCCAAATTTTTCTCCCTCCCTCCCTCCCCGTCCTCCTCCCCAAGATGGCAAGCAATCTGATATGTTATACATGTGCAATCATGTTAAACATACTTCCACCTTAGTCAGATCATGATCTTTTCAAACCTTAGTAGGCAGTTTCATGATTGTTGTTGTGACTAAAAGAGATCCATGCATTAGTGTCCAGCTTTCTGGAAATGAGCCTCTCCACATTTATCTCTGCTAGCTCCTGAAGGACAGACATTCAATCAAATCACAAGACATATGCTCAAAGCCTTTGTAGCTTGGCGAGATCTGCAAAAGTCTTGGAACAGTGGTGGAGGGAGGAGTACGTTCAGCTTAGCCAAGTTCCTATGTAGCATTGGTGCAACCAAGATCATATGCAAAAGTGGCATCTCTGCCAGATGAGTCCTTGTCTCAGTTTCCACTGCTCAGGAACCCAAAGTTTCTCCTGAAGACCACTCCTTGCTCCTTGAGGCAATAATGCTGACCTGGCTTCAGCTTCTCCCCTCTAATGTCTCTCAAGGGCTAGAGATGCCATTCCCTTCGATACACATCATGAATGAGTCACCAAGATCCTTCAGAAATGAAATCAGTAAAGGGAAAATTACTGAAGTTAACAGACTTTTTTGGATGCCTCCAAAAGCAATCAATAGCCTCTTCTTCAACATCTGGTTAGTGGGCCAGTGCAAGTGTTGGAGTATCTGTCCATACTCAGCCTCTCCAAGTAAGTTCCTTTACACATTGTCCCAACTCTTCTGGAAGGAGCTCCTTAGCATCCTCCACATAGAGATGCATCTGAAGCACGTTTGCCACTTCCATTATATCTATAAAATGAAAGGATTGGATTAGATGGCCTCTGAGTTCTCTGTGTGAGTCTATGAGCCTACGAAAATTTTTGATATATACAAAATAAATACAAAATGATGGGGTGGGGCCCCAGTAACAATCAGAGAAGCACTATTGGTAACTCACATTGATAGAACATGTTATAGTTGACAAAAGGTATTCCTCACAACGTTCCTATGAGGTAGACATTCCATGCTTTCTTATCTCTTTTAACAGGTGAGAAAACTAAGACTGAGAGTCATGAACTCACACGTTCACAGTCACATAGCTATTAAGTGTCAGAGGTGGAACTTGAATCCAAGTCTTCTGACTCCTAGTCCAGTGCTCTGTCCATTAAACTTTCAATCTTTGAATGCATTGAAAGATGAAAACTCTGAGGTAAGATTTAATGACGTGTCATGGTCCATAATCTAGAACAGGGGTTCTTATCTTGGAGTCTAAAATTATTGTTGTTCTTTTTAATATTTTGATAACTGTATCTCAGTATAATTGGTTTCCATTGTAACCCTATGTATTTTATGCATTTAAAAACATTATTCTTACTATAAGCTTCACCCCTGCTCTAAAGGATTTAGGGTAAGGTTTCATAATCTAGAGCTGTGGAGATGGCACAAAGTTCACATGCCAATACAGAATAGAATGGACCAGGATAGAAATATTACCATTATACTGTACAGATTATCTTGTCCAATCTTCTCATTTCATAGAAAAGGCAATTTAGGCCCAGAGAGGGGTATGGGCTTGCTCAGGGTTTCAGAGTGACAGAAACAGGACTAGAATTTATTTGTGCAATGAAAGGGTTCTATTAGGTTACTAAGCTGTACTAGGTCTTTTCCAGATTCAGAAGCAAAAGGAAAAAGTAAGAGGGTGGGCACAGTGGACCAATGAGAGAGAAATAGTGTTGTGTTACTATTGCCAAAACTTCAGAAAAAGAGGTATGTAGTCTCCTCATACATATGCTACTGACTTCGTATATATTGACTATGAATATATATCGACGATGCTATTGACTTCATATATATTAAGGGCATCGAATTTCTTTCCTTCTCAATGGGTGGGGGAGGGGTGAAGGGAAGAAGAGAATTTGAAACTGAAAATAAAAATATGACCATGCTATTGTATCACATGGTGTTAAAATTCTTCTAAAGTATTCTAAAGCATCTGCCCTTTTGCCCTTGAATTGTTTGCCTTCCACCATTCTACTGGTGCCATTTAGCTCACACAACTCTACCTGGCAAAAACTACTGTCTGGGTTTCACCGAAGTATACCTTGCCTTAGCTTTTAGTCCTGGGGTGATGGTGGGAAATGGAAGACTCATAGGAAGTTGGGAAATGATTTTAAAGAGCAAGAAGGTCATTTTGAATTAGATTTCTGGAGAAGAGGGGAAGTTGATGACAGTAAGGAGAGGATAGGGTTATGGGTAGTAATGGTAACTGCTAGTCGAAATCAGTTTGACTGAATACTTCAGAAAGAAAGTTTGCTTAAAGGATGGAAACAGTTTTGTAGCAGAACATTTACACAAAAACCAATCTAAAGAAAACAACTTACACACTAGAATCTGAAAGTCATTCAGTTCCCAGGGGGAATGATTTCAGAAGTTAAAAGGAGAGAGATCCTCTCCAACTATTAAATGTATTTTTAAATTGATTCCAGGAAGAGGACAGGCACTTATCCCAGGGGAGGATTCTCAGCAGATGTTACTAGAAGACCTGAGAAGCTGAATGCCCAGAGAAGAAATGGGAGAGGCCACTATCGACAGAAAAGTTTTATTGGGTTTTGTCTTAACTGATATAGCTACACCCACCATTGAAACTGGGTAAGGTTGGAAAGGTGAGGGATACGGTAGGGGGAGGGATGGACACACAAGGTCACTCTGGCCATTTGAGGTCATAAGGGAGTGACATCATTGGAAGAACTTGGTAAGTAGTTCCAAGGCTTTTGGAGGAGAAATCTTAGGAATGGAAAACAACCATCCTGGACAGTTGCAAAATGCCATAAATAAACCCCAAGAGGGCTGTCTTCAGAAATGTGCCTGTCAAAATGATGACCAGCTCAAGGGGCAACAGAGGCTACTCCAAACAAACAAGCAGTCCCTGGAGGGCAGAGAGGAGAACCGAAGGTTCAGAGAGGACTTGCTGTCTTGCCAAAAGCAACCCCAGCTCTTCATGGTACTCGTTGGTCATTCCAGTCACACCTGTGCACACAAATGAGATAATGGATTTAAGGCGTTCTGAAAGTCATAAGGTGCTATTATATAAATAGCAGCAATTATGATTACTGTTTATCATCATCAATAGCATCATCCTTGACACTAGAATTTACACTTGGCAAACTGAATGTATTTATTAGACAGATGATATGAGACAGGAGGGGAAGTGGTATGGTGTAATGTGGAAAGAGACCTGATTTGGGAGTCAGATGACCCCAGTGTTTGCCACTGATTTGCTATGTGACCTTGTGAAATCAAATGAAAGAACTGGATGAGAGAGCCACTAACATCTCTTTGAGTACTAAGATTATATGAGTTTATGATTTGAGGGGGTTTAAAATGCTGGTGATTACATCAGTTTGGAATTTTCATCATTAACAATATCTTACACATTCAGAAAATTATACATTTTACCAACTGCTTTCACCAGGGACTCATTCAAGAATTTTGTTCTGCTGGGGCACATAAAATTGTAGAAATATCACTGGTTGGAGGGGCAGCCAGGTGGCAAAATGGATTAGAGTGCTGGCGGTGGAGTCAGTAGGACCTGAGTCCAAATCCAGCCTCAGACACTTGACACTTACTAGCTATGTGACCCTGGGCAAGTCACTTAACCCTGATCGCCTCACTAAAAAAAAGAGCTAAAAAAAATATCATTGCTTGGTTGAACTGTCTATCAGCATAAAACAAGTCACTTATGGTTTTAATTGATTATTATGCCTTGGTGGCTGATGGGAGGCAGAGAAATGCTGGGGGATGAGTGATGTAGCCTCCTTATTCTCTACTGATTTGACTGAAAGAAAAAAAGTCCCAGGTAGTAGTTTGAGGAAGCCATTTGCACCCCCTAGTAGCACAGGTGCCCATGAGGTATGAATAAATGAAGATTGAAAAATAATATGAAACCTGAAGAACCTGAGGGAGCAATTTTTTCAAATTTGTGCTGTACTGGGAAAGCGCTGCACTTTCCCTCAGATTTTGCATAGTATCTTGCTATGTCTTCCTCTTGCTCTTACTTTACTCTCTCTGGTCACCTTTGTTATTTTGTGTGCTTGTCTTCCCCCTCCCTTTACAATCCCAAAAGAAAGGGTTAGCTGTCAATTTTTACAAGCCAAGAAAAAAAAATGCTCAAAGATATCTTTCAATTCTTTTCTTTTTGGTAAAGGCAATAGTCAGGTAGAAGAGATGGGCTGTGGAGGAAAAAGAAAGCTGTGGCTGCTTCATTAAGCCACTTAGAGTTTTTCTGTGCCTGTTTCCAAAACTAATCTCTAAAGGTGATGCAAGCTCCATGCAGATAGCATAGCTGGAGGGTTTCAGCTGCACATGTGCGGTTGGCATAATAATGTTACCCTTGAATTCTAATGATGCTAGCAGTGCCTAAACTTGTTAACAAACTTCTTCAAATGATTAGACAGGCAAAGGAAGCGGAGATAACTTAAGTGACTTACCCAAGGTCATATAGCTAGTAAATTTTAGATTCTAGATTTTCTCGCAGGTCTTCTGCCTCCAAAACCATTAGTACCTTTTCCATCATACTATACTGAGTTGCTTTCATAGCAATGAGAGACAGAGACCTCCTTTTCTTCTGTTTACTAATGATTATAAAGAAGAATTTTATTACTCCCTGATTTTATCAGTGTCAGTATTTTCTATGCCAACATAGACAATAATACAGCTGCACCTTAGTAGATAGTCTTCATGAACTGCTGTGGCCAAGGGGGAAAAAAATCACCAGGTGGCCAGCCCTTGGGAGATGAAACTGTCTCTTCTTTTAGATAGACCATTTGGAATATGGCATACTCCTGTCAAATTTCAGGAGGCCTTGGATTTCTTTCCTTTTTGAAGTCCCTGACTTCTTTCCTTCTTTCTTTTTTCTTTTCTTCCTTCCCTTATGCCCTCCTTTCTTCCTTCCCTTTCCTTCTTCCTCCCTTCTTTACTTCTTTCCCTCCTTTTCCCCTCATTTCCTCCTTTTCCTCTTTCCTTCTTTCTTTCCTTCTGGACTGACCAATAAGCCTAGCCTTTATGAGAATGTGCACAATACTTGGCTGATGCAATTCCTATATGGACTTTGGAACATATGCCAACTTTATGGGACAGGTTCCAGTCTACTGATCATGTAGTGAGGAGCCTCTGACTGGCTGTGCAGCCAGGTATGGGACGGGCACAGTAACAGTTGATCAGTTGTTGACTAGTAGTTGACCAGAACCTTCTCCTAATTTGACTTCCTCCTGCTGGTAGCTTTATGGTGAAAGATGAAAGTTAGTGCTTTAGAGGGAGTGGCCTCAATCCCTCCCCATCCATATAGGCAATCAATAAATGTTACCTTGGTGTTTTGCCCTAGTGCTTGTTCTTTCTTTTTAGGTGAAGGAAATTAAAGGCTATGACTTTGTGAGTTTTTTTTTCTTTTGGCTAGGCAATGGGGTTAAGTGACTTGCCCAGGGTCACGTAACTAGTAAGTGTCAAGCATCTGGGGTCAGATTTGAACTCAGATCCTCCTGACTCCGGGGCTGGTGCTTTATCCACTGTACCACCTAGCTGCCCCCACTTTGTGAGTTTTGTAAGCTCAGGAGAGAGAGAGCCACTAGGAAGTCTTCGATTAAAGTCTGTGCTGAGGTTTGCAACCAGTCAGAACAGCTTTGAGGCCCTGAGGTGTGAGGAGTGCCCTTCGGGACCCATCCATCCCAGCAGGAGCTCATTCAGCAGCAGTGCTGCTATATTTGGTCAAGAACTTGTTGGGATTAATGCTATGGAGGAAGTGTTAAATCTGGGCCCACTTTCCCCAGGGACCAATATGGTACAAAGAAGAGTGTGCCCTGAAGTGCTGGGGAAGGAAATGCTACTGCCTTTGTGCTAGCTAAAGTAAACACCCCTTTGTGAAAGCTAATAGAGGTTAAGTGGTTAAATGGACCTGGGGAGTTAATCACTGATGGTTAACAGTGAAAAAACCATAACAGAATGAGGGCTCAAGCTGATAACATTAAAGAAAGACACCCCCAACCATTCAAGGATACACCTAGAACCCTCAGGGAAGATGTAGCCAGATGTGCACACCTCACCCAGGCCTTCCAAGTAAGGAGGGAAGACCCTACTAAAGAAGGAGAGGAGCTTCCTTGTGTCCCAGACTTCTTGGGCCAGTCATTTCCTCACACTTTCTTGGAGCACATTCTGTGCCCTCCTAAAACCGCACCTCTACCAGTTGCCTCACTGCCTGCCCCCAACCTGCCGCCTTTCTAGCTTTCCAGCTACATCTTGCTGCCTGACTCCCTAGGACAACTCCATTCTGATGCTGAATCCTAAAGCATGATGATAACCTATCTAAACTGATTCCTCAATGATTAGCCAACTCCCACCCCACCATACATTCTCTGTCTCAGTAATTCTGAACCCCTAGCTGTCATCATTCAAAACCTCCATCTCCCACTAACTACTCCTTCATTCTCATTCCCCTTAAGCCAACTCCCCCAAAGTCCTGTTCTAAAGCAACTTTGTTGGGGGAGTTGAGTTAAGGGGAAAGGATAGAATAAAGAACTTTGTCCCTTCCACCAGTGCCCTTTGGAACATCTGATCCAGGTAACAAACCTGCTGTTGTCTTAAATCTTTTCTCACTCTTCCCATCTTCTCCTTCTGGCTGAGACCCAGCTTCCTCCTGATAACACAGCTTCCCAGGCTACCCTTTCCAACACTTGTTACACTTTCACTCCTACCATCTGACTCACTGGTGGTGGTGGAGAAGGTAGAATACCCCTTGCTTTCTATTGCCACTTCCAGTCTATCCCTCTACCACCATCACTCAGGAAGCTCTCCTCCTTTGAGGTTTAGTCAATCCATATTTATGATCCAATCAAGATTCTGGTAGCTATTGTTCATGGACTTCCAAGACACTTTCCTTTCTTCAATGTGTTTTAGTTCAGAGTCTTTCTCTCTACTCCCCACTTCCACCCCCCTATCCTGCCCTCATGCTAGAGGACTTTAAGATACATGGTGATTCTCCCTCAAATACCCCAACCCCTGAGTTTTTCAACCTATTTACCTCCTAGGAGCTACCTCAGCCACACACAAAGATATCCTTTATCTTGCCATCACCCACAAATGGGCCACTTCCATTCCCATGAGCTCTGAAATTCCCTTATCTGATTACAACCTGTTGCCATTCAATTTTTCCCTCTACCTTGCAACTCCAAACCCTGTTCTTCATCCTCACTGTGATATCCTCTCCCTCCTTGCCTCAGTATTCTTTCAGGCTATTATCCCTGCACTAGCTTCACTCTCTTCCCCTCCCCATCTTGATTTCTTGGTGGACAAGTTCACCTCTATACTTGTGTTCTCTCAAGTTCTCTCGTCTCTCAAGTAAGGCCCTGATAAGCCTTAGCTTTGGATTACTCCAACCATGCTCTGCCTTTGCTCTGACTCACATGCTGCCAAATGGAGCACAAAACCATATTGACTTCATCCACTATGAAGTTTTGTTACATAATCTCAACTGAACCTTCACTGTGGGAAGGTCATCCTTTTTCACCTCCATAATTGATTCGTTCTCCCACTCTCCATAGCCTTTCCCAAAGTTTTTCATCTCTCATTTAACCTCCAATGGCTTCCCCTCACATCTCCTCAGATTAGAACCTTGCCTCATCTTTCACTGAAAAAAATTGGAGCCATTTGCCAAGAGCACCTTTTCTCCCCTGTTCCTCATCTCACATCACTCAAATGCTTCCTATTGCTATTTCCCCAGTATCATATAAACAGATGGCCCTTCTCCTTGCCTTGGTTACCCCCTCTACATGCACACACTATCCCTTTCTATCCCATCTATTCCAGCAAATTGCCCCTTCTATCGTACCAATGCTCTCATTCATCTTTACTCTCTTCCCGTCTGCTGACTGCTTCCCAATTAACTACAAACATACACACGTCTTCACCATCCTCAAAAACCTTCACTTGTTCCATATATCTCTGATAGCTATTGACCTATATCTCTCCTCCCATTTGTGGATAACCTCCTTGGGAGGGTGATCTAAAATCAATGCCTACGCTTCCTTTCTTCTTACTTTCTTCTAAAGTCTCTGTGCCCTGGCTTCTGACCTCATCATTTGGCTGAAACGGCTTTCTCCAAAATTAGCAATTTTCTTTTAATTGTCACATCTAATAGCCTTTTGTCAATCATCATCCTTCTTAACCACTCTGCAATCTCACACTGCCTATCACCCTCTTTTCGATACTCTCTTCCCTCTAGGTTTCTATGACTATGCTTTCCTGGTTCTTCTTTTACCTGTCTATTTCTCAATCTCCTTCAATGTATCTTCTTCTGGGTCACACCCAACCATAGGTGTCCACCAAGTATCTGTCCTGGGCTGTCTTCTTTTTTCCTTCTTTGCTATTTTGCCTAGTGACTCCATCAGCTCCCAAACCAATGATTTTTAGATCTATTTATCCAGCCCTAAACTCCAATCTTACATTTACAGCTGCCTATTGGACATTTTGAACTATTATATCCTATAGGCATCTTAAAAACAGCATGTCCAAAAGTTAATTCACTCTCTTTCCACCTAAACCCTCCCTTCTTCCAAACTTTTCTGTTTTTATGGAGGATACTTCCATCCTCCCAACCATCCAAGCTCAGAGCATGAATATCATCCTCAACTCCTCCCTTTCACCTCTCATCTCCAATCTGTTGCCAGGTTATATTGATTCTACCTTTGTAAAATCTACCCCCTCCCTTCCCACCCCCCTACCCCTCTGACACTGCTACCATCCTAGTGCAGGTCCTCATTACCTAATGTCTAGACTATTGCAATAACCTTCTGGTTGGCATCCCTGCTTCAAATCTCTCCCCTCTCAACTTCATCCTCCACTCAGCTGTGAAATTAATCTTTCTAAAATGTAGATCTAACTATGTCACCTCCCTATTCAGTAAGCTACAATGGCTCCTTGTCATCTCCAGGGTCAACTTTAAATCTTCTCTTTGTAACCTACCACCTTCTGACTTTTCTAGTCTTTTCACACTTTACTGTCCTCCAACTACTCTGTGATCCAATGACATTGGCCTCCATGCTGCTTCTGAGACATGACACTCCATCTCCCAACTCCATGCATTTCTACTGGCTGCCCCACATTCCTGCAACTTTTTCCTCCTCATCTCTACCTCCTGGTTTCCCTGGCTTCCTTCAGGTCCCATCTACAATCTCACCTTCTACAGTAAGATTTTCCCAATGTCCCTTAAATGCTAATCCCTTCCCTCAGGTATCTCCAATTTATCTTGCATATATCTTATTTGCATATTGTTATTTGCATATTGTCTATCCTATTAGACTGTGAGTTCCTTGAAAACAAGGGGCTATGTTTTTGCATTCCCAGCACTTAGCACATAGTGCCTAACATATAGTAAGCATTTCATAAATGCTTGTTGACTTGACTGCCTCCCTCCTTCCCTTCCTTGTTCCCTTCATCCTTCCCTCTCTTCCTCCCTTCCTTCTCCCAGAAAGCAGCAATTAAGTTCTATGAGTTTCACAAAGTAACCATCCCTCCTGCAACTTGGCCAAAAATATCTCAGTTTCCTTTTTAGTGGCTGCCCAAGCCTTCCTCTGGGGGTAGTATTCTACTTTAGGAAGGGTTGGCCAGGCTGTGCTTGACCTCCAGTACTAACGAGCTGTGGCCAGTGTTCTGGGGCAACCTGATTCACAGCCCCCAGGACTATGAGTCATACATCCCCAGGGATGAGAAACTAGCTGTCCCCTTGGGGCTGCTTTAGTCACATACTTGGCCTTAACTATGTTTAACAACATCTGTTCTTTAGGTCCATCCCTTTATGAAGCAGACTTACTTGCAGACCTTTTGTGCTCTGGACTGGGCAGACCTGAATTCAAATTCTGGTTCTGTTATTTACAACTTCTATGACCTGGGGGCAAATTACATCCCCTTTCTAGGCTTCTGCCTTCTCAACCACATAATGAGAGAAGTGGACTAGATTACTTCTAATGACCCTTCCATCCATCAACTCTTTGGTCCTATGACCCTGGAGCAGTGAATGTCCAGTGTCCTACTATGAATATTTACTGGGTTATCATGTGTCTTCTCAGGGGACATTTAGGAGAACACAGTGACCACAGCTGCACAAATACACCAACTATAGAAAAAATAAAATAAACGATGAGGCCCACATTCTATAAATAAGTCAAGCACTCATCCTTTCCTCCATACCCACAAGTCTCTGAGAGGAAGCAGAGCACCACAGGCTAAGAACTCAGCTCAGTCACAAGGCCTATAAGAGATTTCTTAACCCTTAAATTCTTTCACATGTTTCAGTCATTGACAAGGAGGCTGAGAGGGAATAAAGAAGAAAAGAACAGAGATGAAAGAAGGAAGGAAGGGAAGGAGGAAGGGAGGAATGAGGGAAAGAAGGAGGGAGGAAAAGAGGAAGGAAGAAAGAGAGGAAGGAGCTGGCAGCAGGCTGGGTTTGATGAGAGACTTTTCCAGTAAAGAAAAGGGGTGGGAGGAAGGGTCATTTTAAAATTTTCTGTTAAAAAAGTTTGAGGGAGGAAAACCTATAAAAAGGTACCTGAGGTAAATGTAAATGAGAGGTGACACTATGGAAGGACTTGTGGATTTGGAATCAGAAGAACTAGGGACTCTAGGCTGGTAACTGAACCTTTCTGAGCTCAGTTTTTTCTTCTCTAACATGAGACCATTGACCTTACAGGGATCTCGTAGGAAATATTTTACAAAGATTAATGCACTACAGAATCATTATTAACTGAACCTCAGAGCAGAGTGCCACAAGCGTGTCCTTCCTTCTCTAAACAAAGGAATTCTTCCAGTTGTTAGCATTTTCTCCCTCTTGAAATTACTTTATATACCTTCATCTGAGTATTTGTTGTACCCTCTCATAGAATGTTAGCTCCTTAAGGTCAGGGACTATTTTATTTTTGTGTTCATATCTCCAGCATTTAGCACAGTGATACTGTTGGTGATTAATAAACGTTTGTTGGATTTCATGAACAGAATCACCCAACAACTCATTTGTATAGTGAATTGGTAGCCCAAGTAGCCCCAAATGTCCCTCTCAAGCTTTGGGCAGCTTCAATTCTCTTTCTTTCTTCCACTGATTTCTCACCAAATCTCAAATTCATAAGTCTCTTAGTGAATGCAGAGTTAATACCAGAGAGGATGAAAACTTAAAACAGAAAGACCTTTTATATATCTTGTGAATACTTACAGATAAAAAAAAATCAGGGTTCATCTGTCAGACAAAGAAGCTGATTCCTTCCTGCTTACTTTAATAAGGATGCTTAGTATCTTATTACACAATTCTGGTATATGGCTTGACCAATGAATAAGGAAATGACTGCAAGAATTACAAAAAAAATTGGAGTTTGGAAGGACTTTAGAGGTCTCTGGTCCAACTATCTCATTTCACAGATGAAGAATATGAAAAAGAGGAGATGACTTACGCAAGGTCACCTGACTAGGAAGCATTAAAGCTGGGACTCAATCCCCTGTCTCTGACTCTAAGTCAAATGCTTTTTTCCTCTATACCTTGCTTGAGGGGGTGGTGGCGTCTTTTCTTGAGGGAGTCTTTTCTTAAGGGTCCAAGGGTCCTTTGTTCAGGTAGTGACCTTCTCCTTCCCCCAAAATATAGACTCTCAGATACTAGCCACTTTCAGTGAGATCCCACACACTGTCCACCACATAGGTACTAGAAAAGAAAAGATAATAGACAAATGTAATTAAGAAGAGACAATAATACTTAGTGTGAGAACAATGTTGCTTAACAGCTGCATATCCAAATAAAGTAGGTGGAGTGTGCTGTTAGCATAGTCACACAAATAATGTTCATCTGAGTTGGGTTTCTGCATTTTAACCAGACAGAAGGGAGGACAGGGGGTGGATTAGTTTTACTGTCACTGATAGAGGCACATTCCAGAGACACATGGATGAATCATTTGGTGTATATTCTAATCCCCCTTTCTCCCTAAATCCCTTTAAAAAAGGGAGCTTGGGGGTGGGGAGCTATCAACTCAGAAATCTGGAATCTGAACAGGTCTTTTTAGGCTCTACTATGACTAATTTTGGCTTTAGGTCTTGAGCCTGCTGGTCTCTTCTAATGGATACTTTGTGTGTCACGACTCAAGATAGGTCCCTCCCAAGTCAATGTTATCTGGCTAACATTGAAGTTAGTCCAAAGGGTTTGGCTAATGTCAACAGCTAATCAAAGAACAAGGGCAGGACCATCTGGCAATTATGTCATTGCTGCAACTGCTAACTTCCCATGGAGTGTATGTGTGTGTGTGTGTGTGTGTGTGTGTGTGTGTGTGTGTGTGTGTGTGTGTGTGTACTTCCTTATACGTGTATTTTACCTGGGCTAGAAGCCCTGTGCTCTCCAGGACCCACTGAATTTCATGGCGTTTCTTGACTATTTGGCACTTTGCTCACATGTTCCCTCATTCCAGTCCTCACTTCCCCAAATACCATACAGAACTGCTCCTACCAAAAGACCATTGCTTGGACGTGGTAAACACATGGGTTCACCTCTTTTTGTGGCATTTCTCTCTCTCTCTCTCTCTCTCTCTCTCTCTCTCTCTCTCTCTCTCTCTCTCTCTTTTTAGTTAAATCTTTTTTGAAAGAACAAAAACCGATTTTGTTTCTCTCCCCTCCCACCCCAACCACTGGAAAAAGAAAAACAGAACCCTTGTAAGAAACATGCTTAGTCAAGAAAAACAAATTTCCATATTGGTCATGCCCAAAAAATGTAAGTCTCACTCTGCACCTCTCTGTTGGAAGATAGGTATAATAAGCTTCATCACTGGTCCCCTGGGACCATGGTTGGTTATTGTGTTGCTTAGCATTTCTCAATCTCATCTTCTTCCCCTGACATTTCTCCCCAATCAGTTCTTGAATTGAACTTTAGTCCCTCCCTCCAACATAGTTGTGACAATAATCAATAACCTGATTTAAGTTTTAACAACATTTTCATTTAACAACTGACTTGAATACTTTGTCTGGCTGAATCCAAAATAGCTCTTTTCCACTTGTCATTATGGCCCAGGCACCTATTTCACAGGGCTGTTGTGAGGATTAAATGAAATAATATTTTTAAAGTGCTTAGCACAGTGCCTGGCACATAGTAGGCACTTAATGCTTGTTTTCTCCCTCTCTCTCTCCCTCTCTCTCTCACACACACTCTCCAATTCCCGCCCCCCCCCCCAGCCTGCATAGAGTTCTCATGGTGCAGCACATTTGTAAGCTGCCTTTGCTGTTTGAGGATTTACTTGCATTAGTTTCTTTGCTAAGAAAGCATTTGCATTCTGCATCTCATGATTTTTTCATACAGGAATAATTTAAAAGATGATCACATTGACAACAGGTTTTTGGAAACAGTCTGGCAGAAACACACAACACTCATGCCACTTGGTTTGATGGTATGAACAAAGCCTGCATTTCCCCTCTAAATATGATGTAAAACTGGAATGTGGCCTATAATGTCAGTTTTAGTTTAATTTATTTTAATAATCATTCCTCTGTTCATGGTACAGGTAAAGAGAGCAGAGATGATGAAAACGAACAAAAATTTTGTCATTAGAATAGAAACAGATTAAAATTTTATGAGAATAAGGTACATTCACATTGAGGGCATCCTTAATGAGGGTATCAGAAAGGAAAAGGCAGACTTTTGCAAATGTTATTCCTTGATAAACTATATCTTTACCTTCATTCAATTGAGTGAAAGATGAAGAGAATCTAAAATCCCTGTTCGTTATTTGTTTAGTATTTAAAAAAAAACAACCCCAAAAAACAAAACCCAATCTTTATTTGGTAGAACAAAATATCATCTTAAAGGCTTTCCTCCAACAAGGTGTCTTTTATTCGTATGTGAAAATTATATGAGTCCTTGAAAGATAAACAACATAAATAACATTGTTCAACAAGCCTCTGATTATTAACATGATTGGAGGTATTGATCTCAGCTGAATTGAGAAAGTCTATCAAGTAGAACAGGAATCCCAGATTCTCCTCTATTCAGATGACAATGTATTGATTATAGTAAGCCTCTGGATATTGAAGTGTTGCCCAAATGTGAGCCATTATCACTCAAAAGAGTTGGTTCTGACTGTCTACACAGGAAAAACCAAGTGAGCAAAGAATTGTCCAGGGATGATACATAGCTGAATGGACAACCTATAGGACTCATCCATATGTATGTACGCATGTATCTTTGTATGGATGCATGTATAACACACCTCCATTTCTGTGTGTATATGCATGCATTGTGTATGCACACACATACATACACAAACATAGACATATGCCTATATATGTATATACAACATACATACATGTATATATGTGTGTGTGTATGTATATATATGTGTGTGTGTGTATGTGTATATATATATGTGTGTATATATGTATGTATATATATATATGACAGAAATTGCAAACGGACAATGATTTGGGCCCAGAACTGAAATGGAAATGAATAGGCTAGATTGATTATTGGGAAATTGCAAAGTTCTTTTAATAACTTTAAGCTTCTTCATGAAACAGAGGCCCATCATTTGAATACCAATATTCTTTTAGTGATGTTGCATGGCTGTGAGTCATTAAAAATTACAGCCTGTCAAGAATGGAAGCTGAGGATCATCCAAAGGACCAGGCAGAAGTCTAATGTGGTTGTAAGTAGGCTGTAATGCATTATCATCAAGGCAAAAGTGGTATGAAATATGTCATCAAAGACACATATGAGTGAAAAGGAAGATAGACTAGTGATATGTTGAGAGTAATAGATGACCAATGGATAGCCCAAATGCCTCATTGGTATCCTCATAATATTGAAAGATCTTGAGGAAGGTCCCCAGGAAATTGAGTAGGCCCTCTTTCACAGATTGATAGGAGGATACGATCAAGATTGCAAAGGGTGGGTAGCTACATGTGGGTTGAGAGATGCATTGTTGGAAATAATATCCACATTGGTGAGAAGGTAGGTCTCTTGATCTATTAGTATTCTTTTTTAAGCCTCCACAGTAATTTTTTTAGTTAACTATCATTTTGTATAATTATTTTTGTCTTTAGTTTAGTTTTAGTTTGGTTTCTTCTTTTCCTTTCAGAGAAATTTTATTTTAGAGGAGCTGCCTATATTCAGGGGCAGCCTATATTTAAACCAATTCAGTATTTTCCATGGTTCACCAAATCTTGCTATCACCATGCTAATCTGAGTCAGTTTTATCACACATTTTTCTGTGATGTTACTGTCAAAAAGACAGAGATTAAATATAAATCCTAAGTGCATTTCTTAGTACTTTAGAAACAGTACTAGAGAGAATCCTTGTGTACTGTCCAGTCTATAATGAACAATCATAACCCTTTGAATACTATATTCAGCACCTTAAACATCAGGGTCAAGGAATATGAGCTAGATAATAATACTGTATTGTATTGTATTGTATTGTATTGTATTGTATTGTATTGTATTGTATTGTAACTAATTGAATGATTAGACTCAAAAGAATAGTGATTCTGTTGGAAGGAGGTCTGTAGTAGAGGGCCTGAGGGATCTGTCCTTGGTCCTGTTTGTTCAGCATTTAAAAACTCAATAACTTGGATGAACTCATAGATTCATAACCCTTGTGTCATGTTGCTTTTAGACACTAAATTCCTTGGTATACTTTGGGGAAATCTTACTTCTCTCTGGCTTTCATTTCCCAGCTACAAATAGCATGCTTTCCAATCTACAGATGACATGAAGGTAAGAGGGATCGTTAAGACATTGGATAATAAGGATCCAAAATGAGGATTCAAAAAGATATTAATAGTCTAAAACAATGGGCTGAATATAATAAAAAATTTAACAGCAATATGTAAATGCGAAGTTCTATACCTACGTAAAAAAACACCAGCTACAAATACAAGGGTGTTTTAATGGACTGCAAGAACAGTATGAATCAACAGTGTGAAATGGCAGCAAAAAAATCTTGGGTTGCATATGGAGAGATATAGCTTTACTGTAAAAAGTCTTTGGCACATGCTAAGATCACTTAAGATGGAGGCAGCCACATGGGAAATGCCAGAGACCTGCTTCTGAGAGAAGCCATCCTACATTGGCCTACTGTGTGGCTGCACACAGCCTCTTTCCATTGGTTGCCTATTTGGAACTATTTGTGTCTAAAACTACTGGACTGGAACAGTCTCACTTTCTGGTGGTTTCTGGAGGCCTTGTTGACCCACAGCATAGGCGCCATGCACTAAGCTGTGTATGGGAACATTCCTCCTTCCCCACCCTTTAAGACTTGTGATTTTGAGAAAAAGGCTTGGGGTTTTGTCTTTGTTTTGTCTGTCTTCTTCAGTTCTAGGAGCAGGGAGGAGAGACCCTGTCCCTGGAGCTTGAGCCATGCTGATCTGGGTTCCTGGTTTCCAGGCTAGATGTTGCTACCCACCCCGAAGGAAATCCCTGAGAAGTCAGAGTCCTAGGACCACAAGCCCATGGTTGGTGGAATTGGGCAGAGTTTGGGTTTGGAACTTGCTTAGACTAATGCTACATAGGAACTAAACTAAACTGTGAAGCTAATCTTCCTCCCTTCTCCAGAGATCAAAGGAATGTAGGGAGGATTATGGTTTTTTTATGTCTTTGAAGTAAGCATTCCTTTGTAAAAGCTAATCTGTCAAGCAGTTAAATGAATCAGGGTACTTGGACCCCTAAAA